GGGGGGGGGGGGGGGGGGGGGGGGGGGAGCAATGCTGCACGAAAGCGCTGCTTTGAGACAGACCATCACGGCACGCTGATTTGAGACAGAGCATCACAGCACGCTTCCATCCATCCCAATGCCAATTCACGTGAAAGCAATCGGCCAAAGCTGATTCAACTGTATACCCGGTACGGTACATGCGCCAAATAAAGAATACAAGCAGGGTATCGCGACATGACATGCTTACCCAAAGCAGCTCGCGACCCGTTACACCTCCGCACCAACCCTTCCTCCCATTGCACGTGATTGCAACAAGAGTTGTAGAGCCCAAAGGCGGCAAAGGGCACGATACGGCCCCAACCCCTCTCTCTCGATGGCAATAGTCTCGACGGCTCGAGACTTGACGGGAGCGAGCACGACATCATGCACGCTAATTCGCCATGGCCCTCTGCGTCTGCTTGCGGCGTCTGCCCGAAGCTTGAATATCCGTCGGCTGTTTAACGACGTCTCCATCGTCGTCCAGCTGCACCAGCATCGTCGGCTCCTTTTTGGGTCTACCGCGACCACGTTTGGGCGTCGTCGCGGCGACCGATGAAGACTCGGCCAGCTCCGACTTTGTCGAGACGGAGCGAACGCGACGAGAACGGGAAGCGGAGCGTTTGGCTTTCGATACTTGCTCGTCCTCCTCCTCCTCCTCCTCCCCTTCCTCTTCGCTGTCTCGCTCTGCCTCGATTCTTTTACGAGACTGACTGACAGTCCTCTTGCGCGAAGAAGCGGATGGGGTGCGGGTCAGGCCGGTAGAAGCGCCACTGCTAGCCGCCTTTTTGGGTGTAGCGCCGCGGGACTTTGACGCGTCTTTCTTCGATGTGATCTTTAGTGGCGATCTGCGCGGACTCTTGGCCACATCCACATCCTCCTCCTCCTCCTCCTCCTCTCCTTCGACTTCCGTCTCGCCAGCAGTGGACTGTCCGGTGGTGGAGGAGCGGCGAGGACGTCGTTTGGAGGTCTTTAATCTCTCTACGCGCGGCAAGTACCACGTGCCACCCAGCGCAAAGTTGCTGGGCGTCTCTTTGAGCGACGAGATCTGAAGTGTGGTGCAAGGGGCGCATGGAATGAGATCCACCCGTCTCTTTCCCCGCCTTCCCGCGCCCTCGACGGCGGCGGCGCAAGCTGCATCCACAGCGACTCACCAAAAGAGCACCTGCGACGCCAATCGCGTACGCTCCCCAGCCCGTGCCGATATGCCACCAAGCGTGACCCTCCAACAGCAGCGCGATGGGCTGGCCCACCAACCTCCTGGTCGACCTAAGCCAACTGCAAAAGATGTTGTCAATCTGCCAAATGCCAAACGCCTAATGTAGCGCGGGAAAAAGAGGCGGTGTGTGTCCGCGTGTCAGTGTGCGAGAAGCTCCCCTTCTTCCCCCCTTTCAAGCGGGGGGGCCAGCCAGGTGTCGCCGCCGCTCACCGTGAGAAATGTGACTGCGCCTCTGATGAAGATCTTGTTGATGTCCTGCTTGAGCTTTCTGCCTGCGAGCGTCTTGTTGATGGAAGAGGAGCTGGAGCGCAGCAGAGTGACGATCCTGACGGTGCTCGTCAGCTGTATGGCCGCATACGCTGCTTGGTGAAAGATGGGGTTGCCAGAGTAGAGCTGTGCGCAGCGGGCAACGCCAGGGGTGAGCCCGCTTGACGAGCCTGCAAGGCAAGCAAAGGGCAAAAAAAGCATGTCTGCAGAGCAGATGCGCCAACTCACATATCCGACGGTGATGGCAATGACGGCCAGAATGAGCGTAGCGGGCAAGCTGTACTGAAAGCGAGCTTTGCGTCCCTTGGCGCTCGTTTCGCACACTGCGTAGGTGAAGAGTGCAGAGGTGTAGATCATTGGCAGCTCGTCCAGCAGCTGAGCCCACTTTTGCAGCGTCATGTGAAAGAAGAAGGATCCCACACCGATGCCCGTTATGCCCAGGTTGACCAAGATGAAGCGCCGCGGCAGTCGCGCCTGGTAGCCATTGCGCGCTCCGTACAGCGAGAGCGCGATGAAGAAGAGGTTGGAAAAGCTGACGCGATGCGATGCGAGGCGACGCGAGGCGCAGAGCGATCGATCGATCTCACGTTAGGAGCTGCAATACGAATCACTGTTTGAGGCTCGCATCAGCACAGCACGACTTTTCACTTACGTGTTGACCGGCTCAGCAATATACCTTGACCACACGTACTGCGCGCGCAAAGACGGTTCCGGATGGATGGTCCATCAGCAGGGCGATGATGACGATAGCTCTGCGCTCGCTCCCTGCAAATCTCCTTTCCTCACCTTTTCCTCGCACCACAGCAGCGAGCTGGTGATGGGCCCCCAATAGCCATACCGCGGCAAGGGTCTCTGATCCATCCACGCCATGCTTTGATCGCCTGCGACTGTATGTAAAAAAGGTGTGACTCGAGCGTGTTGGGTCGGGCAATGCGAAAGCTCGATTGTTTTGTCCAGTATCGCGCGCCAGAAATGTGAGCGTAGGGAGAAAAGAGGGGTGAGCGCGGCGACGATGCCAAGCAATGCATCGAGAGGGTGAAGTTAGAAGCACGCGCGTCAAGAGCCAACACTTCCGCCGCTGCGATTCGTACGTGATTCATGATTCACATTGTCGTGTGCGCGCTCGCCTGCAACCTCGTCCATCTCGCACAAACACCGCGCGGCCAACAGCGCGCGATCGAGCATCCGCACCCGCACCCGCACCCGCACCCGCACCCGCACCCGCACCCGCACTCGGATCCGGTCCGAGCGCCCGGACCCGGCCTCGCCGCCGACACGCGTCGCGCAGACGCGTCGCGTCTGTGGCTGCTTACGATCCGGATACGTGCGTGTCAGGCGCCAATCAAGAGTCGCGTCATCTCGAGTGGGAAGAGCAAAACGTGATGACTCAATCAGAGTGGGAAGTACTCGATGCATTGTGCACATGTCTATGCAAGCTAAGCGACAGAGGAGATGGTGCAAGAGCCAGGGATAGCATGGTGGACATGCGCGGCACCGGTGCCGGTATGGACTGGTCGACCGACAACAATGTTGGCAGACGGCCCATCCATCGCGTCTGTCTCTCCGTGCAGCGCAGCGGCGCCAAGGAAAGCCATCGTCATTTCGAACGAGGCCTTTAGCAAAGGCGAGCAAGAGTCCGCAAGACCACCACTGAAGCCACAAGACAAGGATAAAGGTCAGCAGGCGCTTCACGAGCAGTGCACCAATCCCCATCCCACGCACCGACTGAAAGGTCTGAAACCACCAGCGGCAGTTTGGTAATCGGCGATCAAGTACAGATGCCTCATCGAGACATCAATGCCATATGTCTGCGCGCGCGCCGAGGGACCACGATCCTTGTCAACACCAAGCTTTTGCAAAGCGCGCCGCAAGACTTACATTGAAGATGCCCGCCATCTCGCCGACAATAGCGGCGCGGGCCGCCTCGACACCGTACGTGTGCAAAAGCGCGCCAATGTCATTCGTATAGATCCGGTCCAGGGCCACAATACCAAAGCCAGACGTCCAGATACCCGGAAAATTCTGCGCAGAGCGTGTCAGAGTCAGGGTCAGCGACGGCGTGACGCATTCTGTCAAGTGCTACAAGTACCCACAATGCCTTCTGCAGTCATGGCCGGCTCTTGACCTGGCTGTGCGATGGGTATCAAGGCGCGCTGAATGTTGGAGACTGCAAGGGTGCCGTGCCGCCGTGAGCAATCAAGAATCTCGAGCTTGCACGCACACCTACTCACTCTCGTGAATGACGCTCGTCTTGCACGCCTTTTCAACGATGTTGATCAGGAGAAGTTTTTGCGAGCGCGTGGGCAGTGACAGCTCGAATTCGGCCCATCGTGCGCCCATGTAGTCGAACTTGAACTCGGTGAGGTACCTGCTACCTTCCTGCAAGCGACTTTCCAGAGCAAGCACAAGATCCTCGACACCCTCGCCGTCGCCCACGAGCGGATCCGCTTCGCTCAGCTCGGGCGCCTTTGGCATCGACTTGTTCTCGGATGGCGAAGCCTCGCGCGCCTCTTCGGCTTGCTTTTCCTTGCTCTTGCGGTATGCGGCCTCGAAAGCCTCTTCCGGGTCTTCATCCTCGAGCGCAGAGTACATTGCTGCGGACTGAGAACCGTCAGAGTCCGACGAACCATCGTCGTCGGGGCTGTGAGCGCGAGAGTTGGCCTCATCGTCGGAATCGCCATCGTCGTATGTCGCATTAGCTTTCGATCGCGAGGCTCGCTTCGCATCGTCTGCGTCTCCATCTCCGCCTGCCTCGGATCCTGCATCGGACTCGGATTCGCTGTCGTTACCTTCAGCATCGCTCCGCGCCGACTTGGCGCTCTCTGCCTTGTTGCTGTGCTTGCCGGCGCTTCGAGTCCCGACGGTAGTGCTGCTTCCAGGTTCATCCGGTTCATCGACACCCTCCCCACGCGCCGGCCCTTCCGTAAATTTGTGTCCTTCGCCGATCTGTTTTGCTTGCTCTAGAACCTCCTTTCTCAACCTCTTCATTTCGCTCATGATGCCATTTTCGAGCAACGGCACAAAAGTCAGCTCAAGTCCTCTGAGAATCTCTTCCGTCGTGACGTTGTACTCCTCCAGACACTCTTGGGGCGGGAACAAGTCTAATCGGACCGTGTAGGTCTTGCGTCTCTGGAAATCCGTCGCTGCAGTCTTGCCGGTCACGCGCTCGGTGACGGACGCCTGATCGACGACTTGACTGATTACGAGCTTGCTTACATCTTTGCACCAGATTTTCTGATCAGCTTCGGTAATCTGATCGAGCACCGGCAGACGCATGATTGGCGTCTTGATGTGCTGCGACGCGGTCATGACGATCTCTCGCAGCCGTGGAATACCAAGCGTGACGTTGGCTGCGCCGTGACCAGCAAAGTGAAAGGTATTGAGCGTCATTTGTGTGGACGGCTCACCGACGCCTTGCGCAGCCAGTAGACCGACGGCTTCTCCCGGGTCGACGAGACCCTTGTGGTAGAGCATGAGGCACATTGTCGTAAAGTAGTTGGGGTCCGTCTTTTTCCGCAAAGAACGCATTTTTTCGACGATGAACGGTGCTGTCGCGTCGATTTCATCATCGCCTCCTGCCTCAGACTGGCGATGCTTCTTCTTTTTCTTGGCCTTCAGAGGTTCCAGCAGGTGGGACGCGTTCTTCTCAATGAAGGCTCGCAGCTCTTGCGCAAACTTTTCAGACGTTGCACCGATGTGTGTGCTGGGGGCGTAGACGCTGAGAGCGGGCGGGTACTTGTGCGGCTTCCTGAGAGCCTGCTTCATGTGTGAACGAGCGTCGTCCTCGTTCATCAACCCGGCCAACAAGGCGGGATTGTAGCGCTGCTGGAAGGATGCAAAGTTGCGAAGTGTAAAGTCGAACTCGTTGAGGTACTTGCTCTTGGTGACATCCAGCGAGTCTTCTCCGTAGTGAAATTGCAACACACTGCCGTCTGCGTTTCGCACAGTATTGTCGTAGTGCACGTGAATGCCTTCCAGATGCTTGATGAGACATCTCTGCAGGTATCCCGAACGCGACGTCTTGACCGCAGTGTCGATCAAGCCCTCGCGACCAGCCATGCAGTGAAAGTAGTACTCTTGAGGACGAATGCCGGTCAAGAATCGACCAGCGACGAAACCACCAGCGCGCGTGGAAGTGTCAAAAGGCTTGAAAGAAGGCAACGTCTTTCCGCTGACCATGACGGGTACTCGGCGGCCTTCGAGGGCCTGCGCGCCGAGCAGACACGAGATCTGCGAGACGTTCACCGGTGAGCCCTTTGCACCCGACACTGTCATCATTTGCATATTGTTGTGGGGAAAGATCTTGTCTAAGCCATCCGGGATGCAAGCGTCGATGACTGCAGATGCTAGCTTGTTGGATGCGGACATCATTTCAGCGTCTAGAGCTGCCAGTTTGTTGTCGTCACGCAGCACCTCTTCAAGTCGGACTCGCATATTAAAGTCGAGATCCGCATCGTCTTTGGATCGGCCTTTGGCTTCCTCGTCCAAACCAATGCTTCGCAAAGCAGCTGATCGACCGTCATCCCTACCATCGTCCAGCAGCGTGCGGCGTTTCTTGTCTCCGCGCTCGGACAATGTCAAGTCGTCGATCCGACATGAAAAGGCATTGTGCTGCAAGAACTTGGTAAAGAGACGGGACAGAATGCTAAGGAGCTTGCCGGCGTATGAGGGTCCGTAAATCTCATACACTGCGTGCACAAGACCGTATGCCGTCGCACCAAACGCGGACTTGTCCAGCACACCAGTCAAGAGCTCACCGTCTTCGAAAATGACGGTCTGTTCGTCCGCGTGATCCTTGCCCCAGTATTTGCCACCCACTTTGGCTTTGCCAGTCAGGCTTAAACCTTCAGCAGCCGGCGGCTTGAGGTTGAGCATGACTGTGGAGATGATCTGCTTGCCGGTCCACCTGGGCGAGGGGCGAACGATTGCAGGTGGGAGGGTAGAGATGCGACCCTCGCCAGTGTAATTGTCTTCGGGCCGGAGTGCGCCATACAGCAGCTGGTGATACTCTTCGCGAGTATACAGCGTGTCCTTGCACGTCATCCACACGCCTGCAACGACGTGATCTTGAATGAGGCCTCGCAGAGGTTTGCCGCTCGTAGGGACCAGGTACTGATTGTCGGTGTTTGCGACAAAGTAGCACTCGGCTCTAGCCGCTTGGCTTTGAGGAAAGTGCATGTTCATCTCGTCACCATCAAAGTCGGCATTGTAGGAGTTGCAGTTGGCGTAGTGCATGCGGATCGTTCTCTCCCCCTTTAGCACGCGAGCCTTGTGCGCCATCATGGACGGCTTGTGCAGAGTAGGCTGACGATTGAGAAGCAAAACGTCTCCATCCCGCAGATGGCGCAAGACTTGCTTGTTGGAAGTGGGAGTGCGGGTTGCGGTGCCAAGGCCGCCAAAGGTGCCCTTGGCAGAACGTGACATGCTTCCCTGCGGTGTCAAGAGCTGGCTCGCCAAGGCGGTGCGCTGTTCCACTGAGAGCCTGCCTAGAAGCGTCTCGGTGCCGTCCTCGGCGCGCACTGCTACCGCACCTGGATACGTGTCGGGACCATTGATGACGAGCTGCCGCATGAGCGCTACGTTGTGCATCGTGACCGGCTCGGGGTAGGTGAGCTTTTGGGCGAATACGGGTGGTACGCCAATCTCGTTGGTCTCGATGTTGACGTCTGGCGAAATGACTGATCGGGCAGCAAAATTGACACGCTTACCCATCATGTGCTTTCTGAACAAGCCTTCCTTCTTCTCGAGCGCCTGCTTGACACCAGGCGGGTGTACACGACCTTGCGCGAGAGGAGCAGGGTTCTTGCTCGAGTCGATGAAGCTATTGACGTCGACCTGTAATTGGAGCACGCTGCCCATGAGAGCATCGCTGGCTGCATTTGCCCTCGTCCTCCAGTCCCTTTGGGCGTCCTTTGCGCGCAACACCTCGTCTCCGCCCCGCTCGAGCTCTTCTGGCCCCTTTTCGTACAGCTGCGATAGGGCTGCAGAATTGTCCCGCACCGCGAAGCTTGTTTGGAGGATTTTGCTGAGCAGGGCGTTTTGAGGATTCTCGTGCACGACGTCGCCCATTTTGCTGGCTGGTCTGAAGCGAGTCGGCGCTACGGCGACCACGTCCATGAAAAAGACGTCGGCAGATGCGCCATTGTCAAAGACTGCGTTGCGATTTCCGCCGCCTGCGATCTGGGTGCCTGGTGCAGCACCGCCTTCGAAGGGGCCATGCCGGCCGAAAAGCAACGAGCACAGCTGCGGCTCACTGAAGAAGAGCAGTTGCAGATTTGCGCGGCACTCGATCGGTGGCATGACTCGGGTGGCGTCGCTTGCCAGCTTGCTCTTCTTTCGCGCGTCTTGCAAGTCTTTTCGCCTGTCTGCAGCGCCGGAATCGCCTTGTCGGTAGTCCACATTCATTGCGTCGTCGTCATTGCCGCTCCGCCTCCCATTTGCACCAGGCCTGCCCTTGCCTTGCCGATGAGCCAAGCGGATGGCCGCCCTTCGCACAGCGTCGGGACGAACGATTCCGCTTGCAGAGTGGATCGCCTTTTCCCGTTCCGAGAGCTCCCTTTCTACGATTTTGATGAAAGAGTCTTTTCGCAGCGTAGGATTGAACCTGCACAACGGAAAAAACAGTGAGCGACTGGCTGCCGACAATGACGCAAAATGTATGCTGCAGACTCACGCTTTGCATCTCGGGCAGGATTTTTTGAGGAGAATCTCCTTCATAAAGGACGAGGTGAGCAGTTTGCGAGCAGCATACGTCGCACCATCATTGCACTTGCCCCTCCTCCTGCCCTCTTTGATGGCCTGCTCGATGGCGGTAAAGACGCGCAAGTGTATCCTCTGCTCAAACTCTTCCAGTGTTTCTGGTGGTTGTCCCGCCCCAGCCCTCGTCTCGATTTGCCCATCGCCGTCTTCCATGTGCAGGTCGGCCACGTCGGCAGAAGATCCACCCGCATCTCCGCTGCCGACCAGAGAAGGCTGCCGCTGCAGCGTCTCTCCCGCCAGCTCGTCTGACAGGGCCACTAGACCGTACTCGAGCACCTGCAAGCGGGCGACGAAGAGGATGCGGGTGAATGCGTTGATTTTGAAGCGATGACAAAAGAGACAGCAGCCTCGCAGCAGATTGAACATGTGCGACATGAAGAGGGGATGGAAGACGGGTGCTGGCAGCTCAATGTGACCAAAGTGGCCTGGGCATTTGAAGGAACTCTGATGACACGTCTGACAGCTGTGGATGGGGGTGGGCAACTTGCGCGGCATTAGCCTGAGCAAAGGCGAATCGACGAAGCGCAGGGCGAAAGCCGACTCACATGGCGCTGCGCTCCATTGGACCCAATGCGGGATCGTACAATCCTCCAGCTGTGGGCAGACCGGTGGTGTCGAGCAGGACGGGATTGACGATGGCCTTTTCGGACAGCGCTCTGATCTCTTGCGTAGTCAAGAAGCAAAACGATGTGGAGCCTATGCTCGATGTGATGGGTCTCGTGACGTCCATCTTGGCTGCAATGAAGGGTGGTGTATCGTGGGCACTTGTATGCAGCGTCGTGGCAAGTCAGGTGCTGCCTTTACGTGGTGTTGGCGGGACAGGAGAGCTGCTGTTGCGCAAGGCAATGGGCCGGGCCAGGCGTGATGCGCCCTGTAGTGAGAGCTGCGTCGATCGGCGAGAGGTAGGCGGGGACAGCTGGGTGGACACGGAGGGATGGCAGGAAGTGCAGAGGGGTGTTTGGCAGGCGTAGAGGCCCTTGCCGTCGATCGAGAGAGTGTGGAAAGGTCGAGCAGCGGCGGCGGCCGATGCGAAGGAGGCCGCGACGCCCACGAATTTTGATTCGAGATTCAAGATTCAAGATTTGATTCAAAATTCACGATTGTGTGCAGCTTGTTTGCTCGCTCTGCGTGACGCCCGTTTTTTTTTCTCTCTCCCTGACAAGAGAAGGTCACGTGATGACATTGAGCGGCGCAGCGAAATCGCGCCGCCGTGCAACCACGCAGGCCACAGCAGGCGCGGGCGGCTTTACGCGTGAGCGCGATGGTCGATGGATGGATGAGGCGATGTCCAGCTCATCGAGCTGTCAGCTGCTCTTGCTTGACCTTGGCGCTCGCTCGCCACTCGTGACTCGTGACTCGTGACTGTATGCACCGATGCCGACACCAGCGTCACGCGCACAACCATCCATCCTTACCCACACACAGCAGGCCACTCAGCCAGCCCCAGCAGTTGCCACCATCGCAAGCATACAAGCTGCCACCTCTCATCTCATCTCGCACTTGGCTTTCCCACCGCCACGCTCACACTCTGGCAACAACCATGACGGAACTCTACTCTTCCTACACTTCCGACTACGAGCAGCTGCTCTCCTCCATCCAGTCCACGCTCGACTCGGTGAGCTCTGCCAAGGGCGAAGCTAGAGCAGGGGCGCTGCGCAGAGCAGACATGGAAGCGGACGAGGCCGAGGAGATTGTGGCTCAGATGGAGCTGGAAGTGCAAGGCATGCCGCAGGCCATCAAGTCGAGGTATCAGGTGGAGATGCGCGGCAAAAAGGCAGAGCTGGAGGGCTTGAGGAAGCGTCTAGTGAGTTCGAGGCGGTGCGGGTGTGTGCGACGAGAATGGCTGGACAGGATCGCGCTGACTTGCGACCCGTATAGCGTCAAGCGGCTGCGCAGAGTTCGGGACGAGACTTGCCGCCCTCTGCGTTCAACGGCGATTCCGGAGACCTGGAGTCGGGCTTGGCGGACACGCAGGCTCAGCGACAGCGTCTCTTGCAAGGCACGGCCACGCTGGAGGATGGATCGAGGAGGCTGGAAGACTCGCACAGGCTCGCACTGCAGACGGAGGATCTGGGTGCAGACATTTTGCGCAACCTGAGGGGACAGAGGGAACAGATCGAACACTCGAGGGACACGGTGAGTGCGGGCGGGCGGGCGAGCGATGCACCCGAGGCGCACTTTTGATCATCGTTTCACCGACGGCGCCACACACACACCCCGTCTGCAACGCAGCTCCGTCAAGCAGATTCAAACATCGATCGATCCAGTCGCACGCTGCAGCAAATGATTCGTCGGTGAGTTGCCTACTACTCGATGCGTGGATCGTGCGCGTGCGTTCGTGCGCGCTGAATTTTCCACGATGCTCATCCCAGCGCCAAGCAGCAGAAATTGACCATGGGTGCCATTCTGGCCGTCTTGGTGCTGCTCATCCTGCTCATCCTGTGAGTGTGCTGCATGCTGCCGTGCTACCTCGAACGACTGCTGACCAGGCTTCTTGGTTACGTGTCGCAGGTACAGCAAGTTCTCGTAGGCGAGACGAGCCATGCGCAACGTCGTTTCGCATCATCTGAACGAGTGGACAACCCGGCAGAACCGTGTACATTAGTCGAGCCAGCGACATTAGGATGCCATCACTTGAGCGTCAAGTATCGCAGTCTGTGCGTGTGTCTTGAAAGTGAGCCACGCAAGGCACGCGAGAAAGTCGGGCGCGGCGAATGATGGCTATGTCGTAGGCGTGGACTGAATGCCACGCTTTTGGGCGCAGAGCGCGCGTGGTCAGTTTGAGACGAGCCCGCAAGTCTTCTAAGCAACAGAGAACTTGAGACGAGCCAAGTTTGGGACCCAAGTCTGCGAGCCGCTCAAGCCTGGTGCAGCGACACACGAAGAGCAACAAATTGCACACACGAAGATGGAGGCTCAAAAAAGATGCTAGGATTCAAGAGGATGCAAGGCAGGATATCGGGCACGCTTCAAAAAGGGAGCGTCGTGGTCGACGTTGAGACCAAGTACATGTTGCTCACCGGCCGGGTGAGACTGGACGTGCTGCGTGCAATTGCGTTGTTTCGTGTTGTGTGTGTGCGAGTATGCATTGCCAGAGAAGGGCACGTGCATTGCTGTGTCGTTCGATGGACCCGTCGCAGAGCATGAGGCGCGTCGCTCGCAAGGCCGTGCCCAGCCTCTTCTCGCTTTGCCCGAGTCATTCAAGCCGACCACGTGCCACAAGCACCGTTTCCGACTGCAAACGAATCCTCTAGACCCCTAGACTCGCTAGTGTCAAGGGTGTATCTGACTGGACACGTACCGCCCGGGAGAGGAGTGAAGGTGTAGCAATCGCCCCTGCCATTTTGTGAGAATGCAAAGAATTCGCAATTTGCAGCAGTTGCGCACGACGCGCAACAATCTTCTTTGCTCGCTTTGGAAGTGATTGTTTGAATGTACGACCCATCTCCGCCCGAAACGTATCGACCATTGATTTTGTCCACAAAATTGTTCGCTCGACATGCCTCGTAGTCCGTGGCAGTGGCTGACGCCGTTGCAGTAGCCGTCGTCGTTGTGGTCGTGGTCGCGGTGGTTGTGGTGGTCACCGTCTGCGTCACAACGGGCAACGTCGTCGTGGTCGTGACGGACACTTGGGGCAGAGCAGATGTCTCTGTGGTCGTCGTCTGGACGGTTGTTGTGCTGGTTGCCGTCTGAGCAGGAACAGTGACGGTCTCTTGCTTTTTGGCGGTCACGGTCGATTGTGTGTAGGTCAAAACCTCGACGCGTTTTCTACACGTGACAGATTTTGGCTGCAACGCTTTGCCCTTCTTGTCGCAGAAGCCCGCATTTTGTCGTTGCTGCTTGCGAGCCAAGAGGCTTCCCACGCCAGGCGCAGAAGTGGCGAGAGATCGACGGTAGGCAGGTGTCTGGCCAGCTGCGCTTATCTGGCTTGCCAGCGGCGTGAATCCGGCAAGAGCGGGAATGGTGGTGGTGGCCGTCGTGGTCGTCGTGACAGTGCCTCCATCTGCAGTTGCCGTCGACGTGACCGTCGCCGTCTCGGTGAACCTCGTCGTTGGCCTTTCCGAGACGGTCAATCTGACGCGGGTTGTGAAACATTTGCGTCAGAATGGGTACGCAAACAACTCTCCTCTGCACAAAGGTTCGGCACTTACGTGTCGGTAATGGCCGGATCTGTCGTGGTAGTGGTGATAGTGGAGGTTGCCGTGGAGATGACGGTGGATGGGGCGGGAGTGACGGAGGTGGTAAGCGTGGTTCTATAAATCACCTTGATGATGTCGTGCACCGTGGTAGCGCTAGACTTTGTGGGCAGAGGCTTGACAGCGTTTCCAGATCCCTTGATGGTAGAGCAGGCAGACTGGCTGATCGTCACCACCTTTGATCTGTTCCTGCGCGCCTCTAATCCGGATTGTGACTGCGAGGAAGGCGTGATGACGGCCAGTAGGCCTAACACCAACGAGAGAGAGGCGAGCGGAGTGAGTCTAACCATTTCGAGGCGACGAGGGTGAGGAGCGGGAGCGATAGCAAGGTGAAGAGTAAGGGGTGGCGGCATTCAGACGACCATTCCAGCTCATCTTTATAGGCACCTCTTGTAAAAGACGCATGTGTATGGGTAATGTTTGTGTGGACACAAGCATCGCGATATAGGAGCCATGCTCGATCGGACGCCGAAATTGTTTGCTTACAAAGACGTCGGCTTTGCCAACCTCGACGATGGAGACAGCGCAGGCTTGGATGCAAGAGTCGATTTCAGAATCTTCTGCATCAAACACCTAGCATCCCGTGTGGCGCGCTCGACGTCGCTCGGAGGTGGCTTGCCTGCGCGAGGCAAAGACACCTTGCAGTCAGTAAGACCTCGGCGAGAGACTCTTTGCCGCGCAGCCATGCGCGAGGCAAGAAGGACCCGCGATGCCGTTGGCGCGAGGTACGGATCAAGAGTGAGAGGAAGATCGAGGCTTTGTGAGTGCGCGTGTGCGTGCGTACGTGCTGTTCACGGCTACAAAGACTCCAGCAGATGGGAAGCATCGGCGTGCGGAAGCAAACGCCGGCGGTGCATGCATACCGCTCACGCGCTCCAACCGCCTTCCCGAACGCCACACCCGATGCCCCTGCAGCACCGATCGTATCAAGTACCATCACAATTGTCAACGGCGGTGCCCTTGCCTCTCCCGATCCCGCTTCGCTCTATCTCCAATCAGAGCTCAAGCAGGGCAGCGAGCCTCGAAGCCGGAACAACGCATTTCGACCCGAGTGGTGCAGGCGCCTGCCGTCTGCGGAGTATCGCGCTTTCAGAACATGAGCTCCGCGGGCTGACCGCGGGTGCGCAGATCCTCAAGTCCCTTCACGTCGCGTCTTGATGCCGGCGTGAGTTGCTGCATCGCATGTCGATTCTGAATGCCAGAACGAGACACATATTTGTGCGACTTGCACAGCAATTTTAAAGCTGCAGTTGTGAGTGCAGTTACTCTCGAATTTGTTCTGTTCGCCCCTCCATGCAGTAGTAGACTTGCGATGACTGCCGTGCTGACAGACCTACCACTCGTTTTGACGGTCTCTGAACAAGACTCGCTGCCCAATCAGACTCAGATCATGAATCACGAATGTCCCAATTAGTAGTATTTAGTACATGTGAGACCGTGGACGTACAAAGGGTGACTCCACGGAGCGCACCCGTACATGATGCACTTTTTGAAACTCCGCTTCCCGACGTACGCACCAGTTGCAGCAGCTGCGCGCGGCCGAAAGGCGAGACAAATGGCCCTCGTCAGTACGTCCCTGAAAAGTCCGCACATTCACAATTCAATCTCACATGAAGCGCATCCGTCTTTGCACGCTCCACTTCGCTGCGCTTGTTGGTCCAGATTCGAGAAAAGGGTACAGCAGTGCATGTCTCACGGTGACACTGTCAACTCGATCTTGAAGCAAACACGCGTCTCCAGTCACAGGCGCGTCTTTGTCGAGATGCGCTACCTCCCAAATGGCATCGCGAAGCGCGCCCTCGACGCATCTCTTCAACGCTGGTATGGCACATCGAGGACGGTGTAGACGCAACAGCAAACGCGAGTGATACGTGCGCCTAGTATCACACAAATGTTTGACTGCGACGCCGACCCGTGATCGTTATCAGCCACTCACTGACTGTGACCCGGCCTATATATATGGGCGGAGAATTTTACGGCGCAAACGCGCGCCCACCCTGCCAAAAAACGCGTCTGGAAGTCTGCAAACGTCATTTTTGAAGATTTTAACGCAACAATCTTAGGGGCAAATCAGCAGTCAGCAGAGTATGAAGATGGGAGGATGCTAGCACATGTAAGTAAGGGAGTTGTGAGGTGTGCACAAAGCAACAAGCAGGGGCATGCTGGGATGCAACCAGTTTGTGAGCACAGAGAGAGAGCTTGGCAGGCATACATTGCAGTCAGTGGTTGAGAGAGGTGTAAAGTCATGGAGCAAAATAGAGTTGCAAGAATGATATTGCAAGTAGACAAGGCTGCAGAACAGTCAAAGGATGGAGAGCATGTGTAGCAGGTGTGGAGCATGCAAGGCAGTGGGCAAGAGTCTGGAACAGTCAAGCAACAAGCATTGGTGGCAGGAAGATGTTTGCAGGATACTCAGGGG